CGTTGAGAGAACATGGATCGAAGAGAGATTGAGAGAACTGTGTTTCTGTATATATATATATATATATTTTTAACAAAATTTCCCTCCCAAAAACACGTGTTGAGGGGTAACATTATTTAATTGCCTCATGAGGTAAAATTGTCTTTAGAATAAATTGTGAGGGTAATCTTGTTATACAAGCCAACAAACTCTCTAGACTAATGTTGCATTTGCCATCTATTTTGTAATACCTTTAATTCAAGGTTGTATTTAGTTCATTGACATAAAATGTTATAAAATAGTTATTTTATTAAAATATTTATTTTTAGGACGAATTACAAGTAGGTGTGAGAAAGGAAAAAAATTACCAAAATATGGGAGTGCAAGTGTCACTTGCACCTCCACAATCTTTCATTTGCACCTCATCATATACACACTTGCACTCCCCATGTGTTTGTAATTTTTTTTTCTATCTCTCACTTGTATGTAATTCTTCCTTATTCTTATGTTTGGTTGATAAAAAAAAAATTTAAAATTAAAATACATTGTAAATAAAATTGTCATTCACTATTATAAAAAAAATGATCATTCCATAGATGAGCTTAATAAATTATCATTTCATTTTATTTCACCTCATTTCTAACATCATGTTTTAACATTCTATTAAAATTAAATAAATATAAATGGTAAGATTCATGTCATTATAGTATGATGTGATGTGTAAGTGTAAGGGTAAGAATTACTCAACTCTCAAACACAATCACAAGTAAAAATTATCTCAATACAAACCATTTAATTATAGGACAAATTACATATACTTCTCTCGAGATTTAGTTAAATTACAGATATCCTCTTGAGATTTTGAAAATTACAGATATCTCCTGAGATTTATATTTTCATAACAAATTGTCTCATGAGGTTTATATTTTCATAACAATTTGCCCCATAATTTGTTATGTAAATAGTACCTGCAGGAGGTATCTGTAATTTCTCAAACTTTAAGGAGTATCTGTAATTTTGCTAAATCTCAATAGGGATATATATAATTTGCCCTTAATTATAGTGTTGTCCGTTAAATAAATTATTTATTTAGAGAAAATTTTAGAACCTATTTGTTCGTGCACACCGCCACCACACACTATCACAATTAGCTTCCGCCACCACTCCCTAGCTCCACTTGCTGACCACTCCCTAACTCCACTTGCTGACGATGCCACCACGACGACCCCTTCCCCAGTCACCATCACAACTGCCCTTCATCACAGTCTACATCCTCCATCTTATCTCAAGTTAACCAGAAAAAGTTGAACTTTACTTTATTTGTCTGGGAGTTTAGGAGTATTTCTTTTAGACTGGTTGTAACATATTCTACTTGTTTATAAACATTCATAAATTCACAATCTAAAAATATGTATATATGAAAAAAAATAAAATAAAAATTAGCGGAGTAAAATCGAAAAGAAAGCAAACACTATTGTAAGAATGTTTTTTCTTTTTCTTTTTTATTTTTAGATGGTATGTTCTTTCTTCCTTTTTTATTATGTCAGGAAAATAAGAAGTAACTCATAAAAATAATTGGGGTTAATTATACTAGCTTTCCCTGTAGTTTGAGGTTTGAAAAAATGGAAAATTACGTGGGATTTGGGGTGACTGCTGTGCAGCAGTTACTGCTGTATTGTCAAATGGGCCTATTTTGGAGCTCCTTTTATAATCCGAACCGTTCATATTTTAGATTATGTCAAGTAAAACATACCTGCAAAAAATCAAAGTAATCGGATATCGTTTACTTATTCATCCACTCACATTTGTATCTACAAAAATAAATAATAATTATGATTTAAAGTATTAAAATGAATACAAATATGAGTGGATGAAAGAGTAAACAATATTTGATTAATTTGATTTTTTACAGGTAAGTTCTACTTAATATATTCTAAAATATGAATGGTTCGAATTATTAAAATAAGTTTCGAAATGGGCTCATTTGACTGCACAACAGTGACTGCTGTGCACCCCGTACAGTAGACACCCCAAGTCCATTTATGTGTAGGTCTTTATAGCCTTCGTTTGGGATGTGGGTTGGGTTTTTGTCTTTTTAGCCTGTGACTAAAAAGCCTAAGTTCGAATGAGCTTTTTAACTTTTTTGACTTTTTTTAGAGAAAAAATAAAATGATTATGGTTTGAATGTGACATTTTGTCTTATTGACTTTTTATCTTATTTTGTCTTTTTGTAGCTATTTTAGCCCAAATAGCCTATGCCAAACATAGTCCTAGTTAGACTTATTGTCCAATAGGTCCTGTGATAATTAACAACATTTTTCATCAAACACTACTAAAAAACGTCACTAATTATTAATTTTTGGTGGCAGTTTGAAAAAATTTATTGCAAAAAAGTCACTAATTATAAAATTTAGCGATAGTTTTAAAAAATGTCACAAAAAGTCACTAATTTTCAACTTTTAATGACAATTTAAAAAATTTGTCATATAAAACTCATTAATTATCAATTTTTAGCGACATATACAAAAAATCGTCAAAAAAATTATTTTTAGCGACGATTTTACTAGAACTAACTTTCAATTGGACTTAATGGAAATTAAATCTAACTTATTAGAAGATATTAGTAGTTTACCTTTAAAAAACTATACAATATTTTACAAATTTGATATAATTATATTGGATTCATTTAAGATTTTAATCACATAACATGTGACCCTTTTCCTATCAATCATTAACTGCTTTTGTGAATGAAACGGTAATATTATCATATCTTTTATATTAAATATAAAAATAATTACTCAAAAGTAATATTTATAGATATCATATTTGTTTTAAGTGTGAATGGATACAAAATGAAAAATTAATAAAAATAGTGTCCTAACAAGACTTTAATTGATTGAAACAGTAGGACCTTTGTTGATTTTTAAGAAAAAAAAGTTGACAAGTGACATCTTCCAAGACCACCAAATAACTTCTCATGCAAAATGCAAGTGATGTGAGCATGATGATATGTCACATAAGAGGGAATGCAATGGTAGACACCCTATATACATCTTATTATACATTGATATAATTTTATTGTAAAATTTTGTAATATCAAATATATAGTAGGTAAAGATTTATTTTTTGGTTTACAAATTTTAAAATGCCATAATTTTTATTTCATACATTTGATTTTAATAAAATTTATATTTTTAAAGCATACTTATCGAGATTTATTAAACAATATTAATATTGAATATAAAATTATATAAAAAATTAAAAAATTAGTAAAACAATTTTATGGAACATTATTATGCAAAATTACAAAATTTATCAATTTTAAAATTGAAAAAAAATTGAAAAATTCTCAGTTTCATAGAGCTGAATTTTTTTCAATTCTATTCAATTTTTGTGAAAAATTTTTAGCTTGAAATTTTTTTAATATTAATCTTATTCAATAAACCTTGTTACATAAATTTTAAATATATGTTAAAAATAAATATGTATAATAAAAATTATGATACATTAAAATTTTAAGTACCAAAAGAAAAAAATAAATAAATACCACATTAATAGGAAAGTGGATGTATGTATGGCATTGTAGATAGTATAGTATTGGAAACGTGTTTATAGAATTTTGGGGCACATGTAAAGAATCATTCAACCTGAACAACGCTCCATTTGTTTTTTGTTTTTTTGTTTTTTTTAAAAAAGAAGAAAAACCTGAACGCTTATTAATACTATTTTGAGGGAAAAAAAAGAAGAAGAGTAAATAATAAAACAATCATTTTGTTATAAAGTAAATCATATTAAATTGTCATTTATGTTCTTATTTCTTCGCAATCGTAACCACTATTGCCGTCACCGCTACCACTATTGCTCCACCCCTATTACTACCATCGCTGTCACATCACTGCCACCACTACTGTCACTCTACCAACTTCATCGTCGCCATCACCACTCCACCACCATCTTCTCTTCTATTATCACGATCGGCAATGCCACTCTACCACCTTTACTCCCTCCATCATTATCACCACTCCTCCACTACTTCTACTACCTCTACTAGCACCACTCCACCACCTCTACCTCTATGTCATCGCCACTCCACCACCATCTGCACGCCATTGTTGTCATATTTGAGAGAAAATTAAATTAATGAAATATATGGGTTGATTGAGTTTATTTGTCTAGTTTGAGTTTTTTCATCTTAAATAGCTTTCCTGTAGGGTCGGCCTAGGGATCCGATTTTTTAGCCCCTTTCCCACATGCCACATGAAGTTGATTGTCTCAATAGATGGCTGATGACGAGGCGTAATTTACTAAATTCAACTCAACCCATTTAAACTCATTTATTAAATGGGAGGATTTTGGTTGTGTTATTTTAAACGCATAATCCATTTTGACCAGTCAAAGCCTGCACATTTTTCACCTCTAGTATTTTTAAAGGAAAAAATGTTCTAGTAGGATTTATGTAAATGCCCTTAAAATTGGAAATTATATATATATATATATATATTTTATCAGCAAAACTAACATTTCATTGATGAAAAAGCAATAAACATGCCAAAATTACATCAATAAAACAGGGAAATACACATAGCATCATAGTTAACCTCAACGATTTCCAACTAGGTTGGCACTGCGACGTAAGCTCAATCATATGCTAGCATTTGACCCAAGATTGGTGAGAAACCAATCAAAGCAACCAAAGACAGAAAAGAAAAAAAGAAACAACAATACAACCACAATGCACCAATATAGCAGCAGAACCAATCAGTATGCTACAAAACCAAAACCAACAATAGCAACAAAACAGCAGCAACAACAACTCTCCCTCCGTACCAAATCCGTGAGCTTCCAGCAGCAACTACGCCTTTGCACCTCATAACCGTAGCACACACCATCTAATCTCCTCTACATTCCCAACCAAGCAATCCGTTAAGCTCCACCAACGACAGAGAACAGCTCCATAGTACGCAAATCACCCATCAATCAGCAACATCAGCAGTAGAAAATCGTAACAGCATAACACCTACCTCCTGATCTGCTCTTAACAACAGCAAAAGTAGTATATCAATAGCAACATCAGAATCAGTAAGAAATCCCTCCAATGCCCAAGACAAAAATATTGTAGTTGCACTCCCACAACTACAAATGCACTTCCAATGCCCAATACAAGAGAACTGTAGCAACCGTTCATAAAAAGGCTCCACTTCTGCCCCGAGCTACACCCACTAACAGACCACCATAGCAGCTCATCCCCTAAGTTACTAAATGAATTTTCTTACTAGATGAATATTCCTTACAATGTCACCAACAAAATAAGAACAACCAGGATCAAATGTTTTCAACCACAATGCTAGTCGAACTTTAATTAGCTCACATAACTCCTCTAGAAGTAGGGGCTTGTTAGAAAAAATGCATTCATTTCTACACTTCCACACAGACCATACCACAGCCGAGGGGATAGCTCTCTACACCTGCCTTTCTTTCTTTCTGAACTTCCAGCTCATCCACCAATTAAATAAACAGTTCACGGATCTTGGAGTTGCCCAAGAAAGCCCACACCAGTCAATTATGCATGCCCAAATTTCCATGCAAAAGGACACAACAACAGCAAATGTGTTACTGATTCCAGTTTAGATTTGCAGAAAACACACGACAAGTCCATACTACTCTAAGGCACACCAAAAATCAATCACACATAGAAAAAGACACAAGATATTTATGTGGTTCGACAATTGTCTACGTCCATGGAGAGATTTCATTATAGAATTTCCCAAAGGGAGATTACAGAACTCACACTCACTTTCTATAGATTTACACACACTCTCTCTAATTCTCGCTTACTCTGTCGGTGTTGTTTTTGTTGCCTGCCTCCTCACCTCAATTTATACACAAATGAGGGAAAACAAAGTCAAGAAGAGGAGTTATTGGGTTGGCTACCACCTGCCGTCTTCCCTCCTACTTCTTGACTTGGAGAGCCAACCAGCCAACCTTCAACTACTTCTTTATGTAGGCTGGAGTCAACAATTCTCCCCCTCCAAGCCCATATGGATAACTGACTTCTTACTTGAAGTCCATCCCGGTTAGATTTTTGCAAACTTCCAGTTTGTCTCTGGTGACAACCTTGGTCATCATGTCAGAAGGATTCTTGTCCGTGTGAATCTTCACCAGCTTCATTAGCTGTTTTTCCATCACCTCTTGTATGCAATGATACCGAACATCGATAGAAAAGGGTCACCGGCCATGAGAAATGAATTATCGGCCAACTGTTGTGACACCGGCTGGACCGTGATGGCCGGTCGGCACTGTATATGGCCGGTCGGCCAGAAATTCCTGCAGAATCCTACAGTTGACAGCAGCTGAGGGCAAGCAGTGTATGGCATGGAATTTTCAAGCAAATGTGAGCATGGCCACACTCCCTATTATGCAATGAACTCAAGGGAGCGTGGTCCTCGACCCTCGGGCATCAATTGTGCATTTCGATGCATGATGGCCTAAGAGGCCAAGTTTTCAACTTAATGTAAGTGCATGCAACACACAAATGAATGCTAACACCCTTTCATATTGAGGTCAAGGGCATCGGCGACCGAGGGTTGAGACGTGTTTCGTCACTTTGGGTACGAACATATCTCTCCCCTCATGCTTGGTTTGACACCCCTAACCAAGTAATGCAATGCATGTATGCAATGTACAATGCAAAGTAATGCAACTCATGCAATGCCATGCGAGCGAGCTAATCAAATGCAACAAGACATTAGCTAACCATGCAAGCTAGACTAATGCAATGTGCGCATATCAAGTATACAACAAGACTATGTGATGTAACTTAACTAAACAAGGTGCGAACATGCAAACAAGATATAATGCAAGCATGCTCCTAATGTAATGTAACATACATCATGCCAAGTATGCAACTAGGTACAAAACTGGTCTTAAACTGAAATGGAAGGCCTCAGCCATGCCCCAAAATAGTGGCCAAAAGGGCCCAAAATTGTACCAATTATGCATGCAAGCATGCACACGCCAAGGCTTATCATTTGAACATGAAAGGGAACAACTCTAGGCATACTTAAGGGTAATATACTTGGACTTTAAACACTCACATTAAACTCCGAAAAGCATGCAAAAGATGACACCAATACATGCTAGGGAATGGATGCAATATAGATGGCATTCAAGACTACAAATGAGAGCATTGCTCAACACCTACCCCGAGCAAACATGGCATGGATCTTTCAATACAAAACAGAGTTTTAGCATGAAAAATAGACCTCCAAAACCCACTGATATAGCAGCTAAGGGACACAAACCAAGGGGCATGCACAATGCTCATTTCGAGGCACAAGAGAACAACTCTTCAAAGTATGAAAGAGATGATGAATGCAGGCATACTAGCATGGATTATAGACTTTAAACATGATCTCCAATGATGCCAAATCACGAGAATAAACTAAGCTAAGCATGCTAGAGACTCACATACACAAGGCTCACAATCCAAAACGCAAAGAGGCTACCCTAAACATGGCAAATATGACTAAAACAGTAGCAAATAGGCCTTAAGCATGGCAAAATAGTGTTAAGAACTTCATGAAGTTAAGCTAATATACGCAAGCATCATGGTCTATTGGCAAGGTGCATTTCTAGGCAACATGGAGGAATGCAAAGCAAGTATAATATGCATGGAAGGGGCCATTAATCCGACCAAAAATAGAGGCATAATATGACCCAACAACACCCAAAAGCCCCTGAAATGAAGCCAAGAACAACTGTTCATGCATGTTACCCTTATGAGCCAAAAACACGAACAAATGGGACACAAAGGGAGAGGGGTGTCCCTCCCCTATGCAAGACCTCAAACCCCCTTCTTCACCATTGGAAATCCACTAGATTTCAGTGGTGAGAAGGCAATACACAATAGTAACCAAAGCTCAATCAAAGAGGGGACAAAAGGGGCCAATCAAGGCCTAAGAGGGAGAGGTCGACCCCCAATACCAAAATGACCTTAATGAAAGGTCTTAAGCATGCAAATATAAGACTTTTTTCAGTTATACACAAAGTCTAAAACAGTAAGTAAGATAGGTAAAAGACTAGTGCAAGATTGGGGAATATAAAGTAAGCAATGTTACCCTTGAAGAACCCTTGAAGAATTGCAAGCTCAGGCCCCTTCTTATGATCAAAATCAGCTCAAAACTTCAAGAACAAACCCTCAAGGCCTCCCAAGTCGAAGTATGGTGTAATAGTGTGTGTTTTAGTGCAATACTATGAACTAAACACACTTTTAGGCTATAGAACACACACAACATGAAGAGAGAGAGGGAGATATATAGAGAGAAAGTGTGTATCAGATATATCTATATCTTGCTCTGGTTTTTTTGCTCCACCAAGACAAAGGAAGGGGGAGGCTCTTTATATAGACAAGGGAAAAGGTTTAGCTTCCAAGGGAAGCTAACAAAGGGGTCAAAGCTTCCTAAAGAAGCCAAGGCAAAGGGGCCAAGGCTTCCTTAGGAAGCTGGGACAGGTGTCCAAACTTCTTGAGGAAGCTAAGGCAAAGGTCCAAGCTTCCTCAAGAAGCTAGACCAAAAAGGTGCAAAAGGGGCAAAACAACCACACTCATGCATGGAGAGAAGGGTCCGTGCATTCCAGCTGACACAACTAGCTTGCACCATGCCTGAAAAAGGCAAAAATGTGGCACCGGGCAGAAAAGGAGGCCATTGGCCAAACAGATGGTCGGCCGACCACAGCAAATGCCGACCGGCGAATAGTATATTTCACCAATGGCCGGTAGCCTCAAAACATGGCCGGTGGCCTCAAGCCATGGCCGGTGGGTGCCAGGGGTAGCTAACAAGCTACTCTCTATCCTCAGAAACAAAAACACAAGTGTTTGGTGCAAAACCAAATACAGAACAGTCGAGTTGAGAGATCTTGAAGCAAGGCGCGTAGCCGAGACCTCCGGGAACTCAAAACAAAACACGAACATGGGTAATCACCAAGTGTTCCATCGGTGACGTCCAAGTCTTGAGGACGGTCAAAAATGGGGTGTCTACAATGTTCTTTCTTCTTTTTTTATTATGTCAGGAAAATAAGAAGTAATTCATAAAAATAATTGGGGTTAATTATACTAACTTTCCCTGTAGTTTGAGGTTTGAAAAAATGGAAAATTACGTGGGATTTGGGGTGACTGCTGTGTAGCAGTCACTGTTATATAGTCAAATGGGCCCATTTTGGAGCCCTTTTTATAATCCGAACCGTTCATATTTTAGAATACATTAAGTAAAACATACCTGCAAAAAATCAAAGTAATCGGATATCGTTTACTTATTCATCCACTCACATTTGTATCTATAAAAATAAATAATAATTATGATTTAAAGTATTAAAATGAATACAAGTATGAGTGGATGAAAGTGTAAACAATATTTGATTAATTTGATTTTTTACAGGTAAGTTCTACTTAATGTATTCTAAAATATGAATGGTTCGGATTATTAAAATAAGTTTCGAAATGGGCCCATTTTACTGCACAACAGTGACTGCTGTGCACCCCGTACAACAGCCACCCCAAATCCATTTATGTGTAGGTCTTTATAGCCTTCGTTTGGGATGTGGGTTGGCTTTTTGGCTTTTTTAGCCCGTGACTAAAAAGCCTAAGGTCGAATGGGCTTTTTAACTTTTTTGACTTTTTTGAGAGAAAAAATAAAATGATTATGGTTTGGATGTGACATTTTGTCTTATTGACTTTTTATCTTATTTTGTCTTTTTGTAGCTATTTTAGCCCAAATAGCCTATGCCAAACATAGTCCTAGTTAGACTTACTGTCCAATAGGTCCTGTGATAATTAACAATATTTTTTATCAAACATTACTAAAAAACGTCACTAATTGTTAATTTTCGGTGACAGTTTGAAAAAATTTATTGCAAAAAAGTCACTAATTATAAAATTTAGCAATAGTTTTAAAAAATGTCACAAAAAGTCACTAATTTTCAACTTTTAATGATAATTTAAAAAATTTGTCATATAAAAACTCATTAATTATCAATTTTTAGCGACATATACAAAAAATCGTCAAAAAAATTATTTTTAGCGACAATTTTACTAGAGCTAACTTTCAATTGGATTTAATGGAATTTAAATCTAACTTATTAGGAGATATTAGTAGTTTACCTTTAAAAAACTATACAATATTTTACAAATTTGACATAATTATATTGGGTTCATTTAAGATTTTAATCACATAACATGTGACCCTTTTCCTATCAATCATTAACTGCTTTTGTGAATGAAACGGTAATATTATCATCTCTTTTATATTAAATATAAAAATAATTACTCAAAAGTAATATTTATAGATATCATATTTGTTTTAAGTGTGAATGGATACAAAATGAAAAATTAATAAAAATAGTGTCCTAACAAGACTTTAATTGATTGAAACAGTAGGACCTTTGTTGATTTTTAAGAAAAAAAAGTTGACAAGTGACATCTTCCAAGACCACCAAATAACTTCTCATGCAAAATGCAAGTGATGTGAGCATGATAATATGTCACATAAGAGGGAATGCAATGGTAGACACCTTATATACATCTTATTATACATTGATATAATTTTATTGTAAAATTTTGTAATATCAAATATAAAGTAGGTAAAGATTTATTTTTTGGTTTACAAATTTTAAAATGTCATAATTTTTATTTCATACATTTGATTTTAATAAAATTTATATTTTTAAAGCATACTTATCGAGATTTATTAAACAAGATTAATATTGAATATAAAATTATATAAAAAATTAAAAAATTAGGAAAACAATTTTATGGAACATTATTATGCAAAATTACAAAATTTGTCAATTTTAAAATTGAAAAAAAATTGAAAAATTCTCAGTTTCATAGAGCTGAATTTTTTTCAATTCTATTCAATTTTTGTGAAAAATTTTTAGCTTGAAATTTTTTTAATATTAATCTTATTCAATAAACCTTGTTACATAAATTTTAAATATATGTTAAAAATAAATATGTATAATAAAAATTATGATACATTAAAATTTTAAGTACCAAAAGAAAAAAATAAATAAATACCACATTAATAGGAAAGTGGATGTATGTATGGCAGTGTAGATAGTATAGTAATTTTGGGGCACATGTAAAGAATCATTCAACCTGAACAACGCTCCATTTGTTTTTTGTTTTTTTT